AGTCAAGAAAGACGTGTGTCAGGGTTGTATCCTCTTACCACCCTTATTGAATCTGTATGCGGAACAACTCATCAGGGAAGCTGAATTACGTGAAGAAGCATGCCGCATCAGGACTGGAGGAAGGCTTAGTAACAACCTGTGATAAGCAATGACACGACCTTGCCTGCTGAGCGTGAGGAGGACTTGCAGCACTCACTGATGAAGAGCTAGGGCTGCAGCCTGCAGTACGGATTAAACTCAGCGTGGAGAAAACCCAAATCCTCACACTGGTCCAATCAGTAACATCATGAGATGGAGGAAAGACCGATGTTGTTAAGAACTTCATGTTGTTGGCTCCCCAACCAATGCTCATGAAAGCAGTAGTCCAGAGATCAAAGGACACTTTGCATTGGATAAATGAGAGGCACAAGACCTCTTTAATGTGTTGAAGAGCAAGGATGTTAGTTTGAGGACTGAGGTGGGCCTGATCCCACCCATAGTATTCTCAATCATCTCATATGCGTGGGGCAGTTGGACATTTGTGGGAAACAGAACCGGGAAGAGAGTGTATGCTGACAGATTCTCTACGTTCATATGGTAAGGAGTCTGGGAGGGTGGGGCTCCTGTGGAGGGAACCTTCACATTCTACGTTCCAGTCACATTCTCCAAGTACAAGTTATTCCCCATCATGCTCCCCCTAATAATGCCAATTTTAAGGTGCTACTGGCAGACACATGGTTGCTACTATATGTGCGTGAAGGTCAACTGCTTGAAGACTGGTTGTCTGCCATCAAGAACAATCAAACCCTATTCTATTGTCCTTCCCACTCCCTTTTGTTAAGGATCAGATTGTTCCCCTGGAGAAGAGCTCAGGAGCACTTAAGGAAGGTCAAGCCAGTTCAGAGATGACCAAGGTTAGTTGCCATCTTGACTCTAGAATCTGTCGATCTTGTTATGTATGTACCTTCCTGTCACATGTATGCCTCTATTGGCACCACCCTTTCTATTGCTTGACTACCCCTAGCTTGTCCCCAACATGTTACGTGCATGCCTCCAATACAACCTCTTCCTGTTACCTATGTGCTTGCCATGGCTTGCATGCCCGAGATTATATAAATCTGTGGGAGAATATATTCCTCCTTCATTCTGGTTCCAGTGGACATGGAAGAGGTGAGCCCTTGCATGCTTTATCTTGTCTGATGTCTCCTTAATTTACCCCTCCATTTCCCAACTGCCCCCTGGACCCACTCGGTTGTGGGGAGACTGGTCCCTGCCAGACACTGAATAAGGAAGACCAAAGAAGAAATGATGCATTTGAATGATGGTGCCAGCAAAGGACATGGACTGCCAACAGAACAAACAATTCTGTTTGGAAGAAGAAGAGACAGAATGTTCCTTAGAGGCAGAGATGGAGAGCTGTCGTAGTGCTGATGTTGTTGGGTGTCATGGAATCGTCTGTGACTCACAGAGATCCCACGCCCACAGAAGAAACCGTGCATGCTCCTGCACCGTCCTCACAACCGTTTCTATGCCGGAGCCCACTGAGGCAGCCGCTGTGTGAATGCAGCTCATCAGGGCCTTCCTCTTTCACTGCCCCTTTACCTTACCAGATAGGATTGTCCCACTTCGGGGACTGGTCTCCCCTGACAATACGTCCAAAGTCTGGAAGAAGTCGTGCCCTGGAGAGATTTCGTCTTCTATACTTTGGACATGCTGTCAGGAGAGACCAGTCCCTAGAGGACATTATGCTTTGTAAAGAAGAGGGGCAGTGGAAAAGAGGAGCGTCCTCAACAAGATGGATCGACACAGTGGGCTCCACCACAGACCGAGGACGGCACTGGACTGGGCGGTGCTTCATTCTGTTGTCCACAGGCCGCCAGGACTGGGCACTGACTACAGTCTGGCCTCTGTTCTACCGCAGAGCAGTTGCTTTCCACCATTAGCGTTCGCACGCCTGGACAATGGGGGCGCTTTCTGTCTTCTTGATGGTTTGCCAACAGGAAGCCCAATGCATTTAGCAGAAAGCACGCAACCAAACGTTTGCTGACTGACTAAACTGAGCCTTATCAGTGGTTCTCAACCTTCCCAATGCCGCCACCCTTTCAGACAGTTCCTCATGTTGTGGGGACTCCCTAACCATAAAATGATTTTTGTTGCTACTTCATAACTGTAATTTTGCTACTGTTATGAATCGGGCGACCCCTGCGAAAGGGTCCTTCGACCCCCAAAGGGGTTGTGACCCACAGGTTGAGAACCACTGCCTTAGATGATCCAAGGTCAAAATACACAAGCTGACTAGAAGCAGCACTACAGCAACAGAGCACACCATGCAGGCTCTTCCAGAGGAGAATGACTTTATGAGAAAAAACCACCGGAAATGTCGAAAACACTCATTGGCAAGACAGAAACAGCTTTTACATTAAAAGCATTGCAATTTAAGACACGAAGCTTGGAAGTAATGTGGAATATTACCTAAAAATATACTTAGCCCCTTTTGTCCCCGTTTCCCCATTTCCATTTTCAATCTCATCTCACTATATAACTGTTCAAGTGTGCTTAGTATGCATTTTTTTTCTTTATGAGAGTTCTTGTAAATGCCTCATTTTTTGGTGAGCATGTGTTTTTCATTTCTAGGGCTCTGATTTATGTGCAACTGACTCTTGGTTGTAGAAGAAATACAACAGAATGTTTCTGGGAGCTAGGACGGGTAAGACTTCCACTTGCTGACTTTGGACATGCCATCAGGAAAGACCAACCACCAGAAACACCCTCATGGGCGGGAAGGTAGAGGGTCTCTGGAGAGAAGGAAAACCCTCCAGGAGATGGGTTGATACCAGAACCACAACAAAAACTCAACTCTATCCAGGATGGCCGGGGCTGGGCCATGGCGAGTCCTGCCAGGCAGAAGGTGCCAGGCGTGAGGGGTGGTTTGATGGCAACTGATACCACCCTCATGGATGTCACTCTTTATTCCTGGGGTGGAAAGAACGGAAGTGGACTATTTGGGAGGCCTCAATGGAACAGCTACCATAAAAGTGTAGGTGCCTTGCGTTGAGATCTCTTCAAACAGGAGATAGGCTACAAAGACGGAGCTGCTATCCAATTCAGGGCCCGTTGAATAGGAAAGAAGCCCAGTAAATCAGAAGGCATCATCATAGCCTATCATGTTATGTACCCTTGATATTATCATGTCATACCCCAAATCAAATTTGGTTCCAATTATTTCTTCATTAATTTTTTTGACTACTCTCAACACGGATTTCCTTCCAGTTACTTGTTTGTTTGTTCTTTCCCCCCACAAGCTTTCCTTTCTTGAAGGAAATAAATCAAATCATTATATAGAATGCTCTAAAAGGAGACATGGTTTATAAACTCCTAGAATATTTAGTTCTCTCTTAAATCTATTACCTTGCGTTTGGTTAAATATTTGATGGAGAAGCATAGTGTATTTCAATATTCACACCGATGAAGATCAATTCTTTGGAAGTCTGAACATGCAGGATTTAAGACATACCCTTAAGACACATAGCCTGGCGACCCCAAACTTACTTTATCATGAGACTTTGCCCGTCTATGGCTTCCCCATCCTGTCCGTCGTACTTGCTGGTCAAGGACAGGGAAATCTCCGTCTTGGAGAGCTGACTTAGTGTGCTTTCCTTGTTAGGGTCATTGCGGTCAACTGCTCCTTCGCCTGCAGAAAAACGGGAGCATTATTCCTCCAGGTCTCTCACCGCGACGCCAACGACAGGGAGATATGCCCAGAAATGGGGCGGGAGGTCACGGTCTTCACAAACCCACTCGAACACATCTCAAGTGTCTGCTTTCCTGTCTGCTTCTAAAATCTCGACGTAGATAGCAAAACAGCCTGGGACACAGATATGCAACATGTTGGATGGATGGATTTTGTTGCTGAGTCATTGAAAGAGAGAACTGTTGATAAAAGCAATCCTTAGAATGCACAGTGAGGGGCTTCTCATTTTAGACTATCTTGGGCTCCTGAATGAGTCATTTCTGCAGTGTCAAGAGCTTCCTTTCAGGAATATCAAGTTGTTTGACAGTCGAAGGCATTACCAACTACATTTCTCTTAATACAACCCCCAAAGCCAAACTCACTGCTATCATGCCACTTCCGACTCATAGTGACCCTAAAGGACAGGGTAGAACGCCCCCTGTGTGTTTCTGAGACTATAACTTTGTACAGTACAGGAGTAGAAAGCCTCATCTTTTTTCCATGGAGCAGCTGGTTGTTTTGAACTGCTAACCTCATGGTTAGTAGCCCAACACTTAACCACTAGGCTACCAGGGCTCCTTCTCTTAATTTCAGCCACTGACTGCCATTGAGGTGATGCAGACTCACAGATACAAGAAGGGATAATAGAACTATATTGAGCTGTGGTAGCATAATGGTTAAGCACTGGGCTGCTACCTGAAAGGTGGTCAGTTCAAACCAGCTCTGTGGAAGAAAGTCCTTCTGGTTGGTTCCTTGAAAGATGACAGCCTAGAAAAACCTACGGGGCAGGTCGACTCTGTCCTATGGGGCTATTATTAATCTGGAATTGACAACAGCAACAATAGTACAGATATTGCCTTTTAAATAAGCTCAAGTATTAAATTCTAAGTTACAATAATAAAAAAAAATTCAGCCCAGGAAAATCAATCAACAATAAGAGATGCGCGGGTCTTACCGAGAAAAGCTTCCACATTGGGTACCTCTCCCAGCAACTCCAAGAGTTCGTTCAGCGAGTCATGCTTCTCTGGGGCAATTGCGTCCTGGTGCTCCAGCAGGAGCTGCATGGAGAAGACAGCACACACACGAGAGACATGGCTATTTTCAGACGTCCCTGTATTTATATGTTCATTCGAGTTTGCACTTTTGCCTGGTGTTTTTCTTTGGACACCAAATCCTGGGTAAAGATTTGGATCTTAAATTGAAGTCTGACACGCAGATGCAGTTAGGCTAAAATTTAGCTTCCAATTGTTTGCTCTCCCTTATGATCCATCCATTTAAATTTGCTCTCTTTTTAAATATTTCCTGCTTTTTATTTATCCCTTAACATTTTTAAATTAAAAGTTCATTTTATTGGGGGCTCTTACAGTTCTTCTAACAATCTGTACATCAATTGCATCGAACATATTTGTACATATGTTGCTTTCACTATTTTCTAAATATTTATCCTGTTTGCTTTTCGATTGAGATTTTGATGTTTGACTTTGTTATTGTTAGTTTTGTTTTTTTTTTAACAAAAACTTATTTTCTGTAGATGAAATCCAGGATAGGTAAATAAATCCATAGCGACAAGTAACTAGATTAAGAATTTTGGGGGGGATGACAGGGGAGGTTGGGGGAAAATAGGTAGCTATGACGCTAAGTACAAGAATGAAGAACACCATAAAACTGATTATGGTGATGATTGGACAACTCTTCTTGATGTGAGCGAACTGTTGAATTGTACAGTATGTGCATTACGAGCCAAGAAGACAGTTTTAAAATATTAGAGGACACTAAGAGGGAGTGGCTACTTGACAGGCAGGAATTGAGGCTTCGTGAGAGGCATTCCTGAACTCTCTCAGAACAAGCCCTTGCAGGGAGTAGCAGTAGACCATCGTCTCCATGCAAAGGCCATTTGCCTGGAACATGTAGAATTGTCGGAAGGAGTATTAAAAGAAGCGGAGAAGCCTCAGATATGGCTGGTAGCCAATTTGAAAAGCATTTACGCATCTGTTCACAAAAAACATGCAGCAATTAAGCACTACAGTTATGAAAATAAAACCATCACCTTTAGTTATTTATTTGGTCTGGCTTTGAAGATCTCTCCTGGGTAAAGATGTCAGAAAGGCCCAAATGGTTCCTTGGCCTAAGACTTGAGTGTACTGGGTGCTTCCACCTTTAACCACCCCAGCAAGGGCTCCAAGGGGAGTAGCACCCCCCGGACTACCTTGCCAGTGTCGGCTAGGGCTGGGCTTCAGAGGACCCCTCCTCACTCTCGAGGTGCTGCAGGATTGGTGGGGGAAGCCATGAAGGACAGTGCACTAGCTCTGCTTGCATTTAAAATTAAGGTAATGCATTGTTTCTTAAGTGGAGGACTGGTACCCTGGGTAGTATGAGATATTTTCATTGTTTGATGCAACTATCTCATAAAACCCTGAATCAGAATGACAAAGTTAGTCCCTTTGGTCATCCTCTCTTTTTAATAGCTTTATTGAGCTATTTCACATACTATCAAATCCACTCATGTAAAATACAGCATGTGATGATTTCTGGTATATCCACAGAGCTGTGCAACCATCACCATTATCTATTCACTCAACCTTGTCAATAACCCCAAAAGAAAGGCAGTACCCGTTAGCAGCCATTCTCTATACCCTCTCGTTCTAGCCCCTGGAAGGAACCCACTAACCTACTGGTCTCTAGGGACCTGGCAATTCTGGATACTTCCTACGAAGGTGGCTGCTGTTAGGTGCTGTCTAGCTGGTTCTGACGCATAGCAACGCCACACACACCAGACTGAAACCCTACCCGGTCCCGTGCCATCTCCGTAGTTGCTGTTGCAGCCACCGTGTCACTCCATCTCGCCGAAGGTCTCCCTCTATTTGCTGCCCTTTCTGTTGTACCCAGCATGATGGCCTTCTCCAGGGACTGGTCGTTCCCGATACCATGTTCGAAGCCCATGAGACCAAGTCTCCCGATCCTCACTTCTAAGGAGCATTCTGGTTGTACTTTGTCATAGGAAGAGAAGCACGTAATCATGCAGTCTCTGGGAAAGGCTTAATGTTTCCAAGGCTCATGTGCTTCATTTAGTGCAAAATCACCTCAGATGCAGGTGAAAGTTGGCTATCACACAAGGAAGACGGAAGAAGAATGGAGACATTTGAACTGTGGTGCTGGAGAAGAATATTGGAAGTATCACAGACTACCAAAAGGACACACAAATCATTCTGCGAAGAAGTACGGCCAGGATGCTCCTTAGAGGCAAGGATGGCAAGACTTCATTTCAGACACTGGAATGCTGTCAGGAGAGACCAGTCCCCGGAGAAGGACAACATACTTAGTAAAAGTGGGGCACTGACAAAGAGAAGGTCCCCAACAAGGAGGACTGACACAGTGGCTGTAGCGATGGCTCAACCATGAGAACGACTGTGAAGATGGCACAGGATTGGGCAACGTTTTGTTGTTATACACCCCCCCACATAAACACACGTGCACATACATATATGTGTATATGCATATGCAACACGTATGTGTGTATACATAAGTATGTTGTTAGTTGCCATGGAGACTGTGTGTGTATATACATGTGTGTATATATATATTGAGTTAATGCGAATGAAAACATGAAATAACGAGGTGATATAAAGCCCGTGAAAATCTGGGAAGGGCATGGCACTGAAAGAACCCTAAGGAAGAATAAGTCTGGGTCAGGAAGTAAGCAAGCGAGATATATGTATTTTCCTGCTCTGAGGAGAATTGGCCGCTGCCTCTAGAAATGCATGACTTCAGTCACCTCCTGCTTTTTATTCTGGTAATTATGGTATATAAAATATTACTGAAAATGTCTTTTCAAAGAGTAACTATTTGAAGGCGAGACACGTCCCTTGAAGAATGAGGGTCAAACACGCGGCCGCAGACTTGGCAGGTGCGGCTGCCAGCCGGGCGCGTCTGCATGTGGACGCCCCCTGGTTGAGGACAGACAAAACCCGGGACAGCCTTTCTTTGTAAGGATATTTCTCCTCATTACATCTGCATCCAGCCTAACTCAGGAAAGAATTCCTCATCAGTCACAAGCTTTGTTTCCCAGGAATAGATTCTATTTTCAATTCTTGTTAACAAAAGGAACAGACTGTTTTGACTTAAAAAAAGCAAATAAAAAACCAACCTAAATGAACACAGTATTTCCTCTCTGTTCTCCTTGGGAAAGAATTTCTCAGGCTAAAAAAGAATGCACACTACTGTGTATGTGTGTGTGTGTGTCTGACTACTGCCATCAGCAAATACGCAGCCAGCGCGGGGAGTTTGGGAGTGAGATGGAGTGTCCACCATAAAAATAGACACATGGGCTATTTCTCCAGTATGACAGACACGGCTTGGCCACTTGTGGTAGTTACATAATCTTGTGTCAACTTGAGGATATTAAGAGTGAAGGGGTGGAGTCAAACCTGTCAATCAGGCTGAGGATGCCTCCTTATGGGTGTGGCCTAATCATGAGGATTCAGGGAACTTCCTCTCTCTTGATTCTGCCATCAGAAGAGGCAGGTCACTCTCTCTGTCTCTCTCTGCTCTCACCCTCCTGTTGGCAAGACATGCAGCAGAGACCCGTGGACAAAGCCTTAAGAGGCTTCCACTGCTATTGGATCCACAAGACTTTTCACCCACCGGCCTACGATCTTCCTGCATTTGGCATCATTGCAAGTGGCAGCATGAGTTTAAACAAGAATTTATAGACTAGTATCAGATTTGTAGGCTAATATTGGACTAATGGACTTGATCTGGACTGGGATGTTTTCTCAATATACAGTTGCTCTTTGATATAAAGCTCTCTCATATATATGTGTGTGTGTGTCTGGATATATTTCTCTAGTCAAGTCGGACTACCACACTACTGAAAAGATTATTTTTGTAAATGGTGTTATGACTGAACGTGTTTTCTTGGTGACTTGGGTATCTATGCAGCACCTCTACTTTATCCTAAACATCTGACGCACTCCGTCAGCTAGTCGCTCAGAGTGAGCCTTGTTTTGGGCCACTCAAAATACATATTGAGAGCTTGGTGTAAATGCTGAAAAATGGAAATAAAAACTAAACCCAAATTGCTCTTCCAAACTCATACTCAGACTTTAGAGAAAATAATAAAGTCTGGAAACTTTAGACAGCCAATTCTGCAACTTGCTACTATAACTAGCTTGACGGAAGAAGGGCACATGAGGACATACGTCCTTTGCAAAAGGCAGATATTTGTTCTGCATTCCCCTAGTGTGTATGTACGAGATCTGGTGGCATAGTGGTAAAGAGTTGGGATGTTAACCGCAGGATTAGCAGTCTGAAACCACCAGCCAGCTCCATGGGAGAAAGATGAGGCTTTCTACTCCTGTAAAGATTTTTAGTGTCCGAAACCCACAGGGGCAGTTCTACTCTGTCTTATAGGGTCACTGTGAGTCAGAATGGACTTGGTGGTATTGAGAGGTTTTTCGGTCATAAGCCTTGGTATTTCTAATTGCCTCCTCTGTAAGTGAAAGCTGACAATGAATGAGTTATATCAAAGGACTGATGCACGTGAATTCAGGGATTAGTGAAGAATACTGAATTTAGCACACACTGCCAATACTGCTTAGAAGCAAGAATTGCCCCACTCTGCCTCATATACTT